TGCATAGTCCAAGTTGTGGACACGTTGATGCTTTCTCTGAAATACCCTATTTAACCTGATCACCCTTACTCATCTTCTAACTGCAGCCCAAAGATCTCTGAAGTAACTCCTTCCAAGTTCCCAGGCAAAATTAGATGTGTGTGTCTTCCTAAGGACACACAAACTGTTTTATATACTTTTAATTATCATATAACCTCATACATTTATTTTCATTTTTCTTTCTCTCTGCACTAGTAAAAACTCACTTTGAAATGAATAATACTACTTTCAAATATATAACACTTATTTGGAAAAATGTGAATTTATTCCAACATGACTGACTTAATACTGAACAATCTGAGCACACTGCAAATTTCTCGCTTGTTTATGTGCTATTTTATCTGTTGAATAAAAACAAACAAAATAAAACCCCACTAGACAAAGACTGAAAACCGCCCTGGGTGAAACTGAGCTGCACAAAAATATGCAAGACTAACTAGCAAGTTGGCTCCTCCCTGTGTTTGTACCACACCTATTCATTCTGGTGTCACAGCTTTTCAGGCTTTAGGTAACTCTCCTCTATTCAGAGTAACTTAGAAGCAGCAATTCTGTGGATATATAGCCACTCAAACAAACCAGGTGGCTTTTAAATACCAGTTATTATAATATTTATCTACTTCTTAATCATTTAACATGAAAAAAAAATGCTACCATTGTAGTCCGACTTTCCTTTGGGCCACCAGCAACAACACGGAGACTTATTATGAAAGCTCAGCTTAGCTTAGGCTTTTCCCCAACTAGCTCTTATAACTTAAGTTAACCTGCTTTTACTAATCTATGTTGTGCTTTATGGCTTGGTTACTTCTACTCGGTACTGTATGTCCAATTTCAGGGTCTTGCTGGTGTCTCTCCCTGAGTCTAGATTCATCCTGAGTTCCTCTCTCTGCCTATTTTCTCCTGCCTAGCTACTGGTCATTTAGCTCTTTATTAAACTAATCACAATGACACAATCTTCACACAGTGTAAACAAATATTCTGCAATATTTCCCTTTTGTCTAAATAAAATGGAAAGGGTTTTAATTCTAACACAGTAAAACTATATACAGTAGCAATCATCAGGTAAGAATTACATTCACAATGTCCAGTCCATTTGTATTTTGCAAATTGAAAGAAACTATTCCATTAGGCTATCCTCTCTTGATGAGCCCAAAATTTTGTACCTAATTTATTACTTTCTGTTATGACTAAGGAAAACTGTTACTATAACTATCCAGTCTTCAACCCCATCAAAGATCCAAGAAGGATATAATATTACCTGGGTAAACAGGAGGTGCAGAGCAAGCTACTTCTAAAACTAAGAATCAACAGAGACATTTGGCTACCTGGACAGTCACCCCAGGGTTCCTCTGCAACGTTGGGGTACCCATCCTCAGCCTGCAGGCCTAAAATATCTGACAGACTCTTCTATGATGCAGGAATTTTGAAGAACTGTCTCACCTTGTCATAGCAAAGTATGGCAGTTGCCTTTATGTCCCGTTTGTCCAAATTTGGACAGCATACTGTCAGTAGTCAAGGCAAATGCAGTTTCTTTGCCCAGTGGCTGACTTTGCCATAAATGAAAGCAAACTCCATATAGAGGTTTTTTGACGCCCACCATTCTTTTTTGAAGTGGACTGGTGCTATCAGGAACAGACATGTCTCACTGTTATAAAAAGCCTTATGTTATTAAAAAATCTTAAATGTCATATTCTGTAGATCTCTCAAGAATTTAAAGACCACCTGCCTATCTAAAATGTTTGACCTTAAAAACATATCTAACATGACTACAAATTTGATGACTAACTGCTAACCTGTATTTTTTAATTATCCTAAATAGTTTGTAATAAAGCTTTTAAGAACTAGAACTATACATTACATTTTTAAATGAGCTGTAGAGTACAATACCTTAAACAAGAGTAGAAACATATACACAACATAACAAAAATAACCTTAAATTTCTATTAATATACAAAAATTCTTACCAACGTAAAATATGAGATTAATAGTTGCTTTTTAGTTTAAAAGTAGATTCAATAATCTACCCTTTTATCCTATCATTCCTATACCAGTCTTATCATGTTCCTGTTTTTTTAATGTTTTGGGTTTTACACTTCAATTCCACTTCCTCCCAAGTTCTGTGATTTCCATACAAAACCTGTAACAACAGCTTTATTAAGAGTTCTATAACTGGGCAATGGTGGCACATATCTTAGAGCCCAGCACTTAGGAGGCAGAGGCAGGTGGGTCTCTGAGTTCAAGGCCAGCCTGGAAACTCTCTAGAATAACCAAACCAAACCAAACCAAACAAAAACAAAAACAAAAACAAAAAAAAGTCTAAGGCTTCAGTCTCAATATTCTACTTTCAGGAATTTTAAGAAAAACTCTTGTCTTTCCCCCAAAAATTCACAAATACTTATTATATCCTAACAGCTTGATTGTTTTGACTTTCCAGTTGAGCACAGGGTTGTCTGTTCCATTTAAGTTCTCTAGCCTGCCTGAGCCTCTAAGAAGCCAAGTTGACAAACCTGAAGTTTCCTGTGTACCACTTTAGGGCTCTCACAATTTTGACTAATTTTTAATGTTTTCCAAAATACTGCCATTCTGATTTTACAAGGCCCTTTATTGTAGAGCAATTGGGCAGTCTTCAAGCCCATTACAAAAGGAGCCATAGACACCACATCTAAGTCAAAAAACACACTTAGTTACTAATTCAGTATTATTTCAAGTATGATTTGAATTTTACTTGCAGCCTCTATTCCCCACACTGATGCCCAGTGACCTTTAAATCACTCTGTCCCTAGCTTAAAAAAAAAAAAAATTAGACCCTCCTTTGCTACAGGAGAAAGGAACAAACTTTTAGCTTAGCAAGCATAGCCCTTCACAATCCAGGCTAGACATACCTTTGTAAAGCTGCTCTCAAGTCACTCCACTGTTCAGTAACACCTTACCACTGGCCTTACCCTCAAACCTGATACCTGAGTACACTCACTGTTCCCTTTGTTTAGAATGATCCCCATCTCCAACCTGGCAAGCTTCTAGTCAGTGTTACTTTTTTTAAACTGGCACCACACCCTCCGTAAGTTTAATCATTCTTCTGTTCCTTGAAGCACTTTGTGCACCCACTACTCCTACGCAGGACAGGAAGGCAGAAACTGAATTCGGTCACCTCTGAATTCTCATCATCTACCTCAGGACCATCATATGCTACTCCTTCATGTGCAGCTCAACAGAAAAATATAAATGGACAAAATAAAAGGAAAGCCCAGAGGGTAAAATGAAGGCAGCCTGAACCAGCCTCCATTTTAGATTCAAGTAATATTCTTTTCTTCTTTAATTACTTATTCAAACACCAAACTCCACTGCATTCCACTGTGCTCAAAAGCACATATGCTATGCATATATAGTCAGATTATACTTGGGTTTAGTCAGCACTTAACTTACAAGTAGTGTTTATTAATCATATTTCATTGTAACATGGCTACATCCATAGCCTGATAATGGGTACAATTAAGGAGAAATGTTAATCAACAAAAGATTTTGCAGAAGCTATAAGGTTTCAAAAAATTCAAACCAGATAAGTGAATATAAGTGGGCATTCTCGAAGTGACAGAAGATTTAAGCCAGAGCTTCCTAACCAGTGGATCTTGCACATAGCAGAGGGCTGCAAATGTATTGAAGATACTGCGCTCTCACCACACAAGGACCAAAGAACACAACTATAAGCTACCTCAAACATTTATTCCAGTATCATATATAAATATAAAACCAGAGTCCTGACTTTTTTTTAAGTTAACATGGGTACAGTGGGATGTCGAAACATCAACCAAAATACTAGTTAAAACTGCATGTATAAGAATTTATTTGTAGTCAGAACCAAGTTCTGTACTCCAACCTCTGTTCAATCAAAAACAACAACAACAAAAAAAAAAACCTGGGGGCTGGAGAGATGGCTCAGAGGTTAAGAACACTGACTGTTCTTCCAGAGGTTCTGAGTTCAATTCCCAGCAACCACATGGTGGCTCCCAACCATCTATAATGAGATCTGGTGCCCCTTCTGGCCTGCAGGGATATGTGCAGGAAGAACCCTGTATACCTAATAAATAAATAAATAAACCTTAAAAAAAAAAATAAAAAAAAAACCTGAAAATTCCCAGCAACCAGACACATTTAAGTTACACAAGTATTGACTTCCAAGGAGATATCACCAATCACACAAGAAAATGTCTTTTTGTCACTTACTTTTTGTCCAGGTTAGCAAGCACCTTCCACCTAGTGAGAAACAGCCACAATGATCTATCTACCTTAAATAATAACTATTGGTTAAAATACTTCCTTCTCTAAAAACTAATACTTAACAACTATGTCACACTTAACATATCTTCATGAACACACAAAGCCTGATGTTTATCCTCATAACTAATATCTTGGTTGAATCACCGTATTCTTTCTAGGGTTCAGTTTCCTTGTGGCATCTTAAGAGAATTAAACTAGACCACAAGTTCCATGTAATTTTAACTCTAAAATTTATTCTAGAAAGCATCAAATTCAAAAGCAATTACAAACAGCAAACTATGCTTTCACAACCTTTTGGCTAGCCTACAGAACTGTTGTGGAACGGTGGAGAAGGCTAGGCAAGTGTGGGAAGTGGTTCTATTACAGAGCGAATTGGTTTTCGCTTAATGTATAGTCCCCCTCTTCTCCCAAGGGAAAAATCCCAAACACAGGCAGTCTACCCCCCCCCCCCAAAAAAGGTCTGCCTGAACTCAAATTCGAGCAGACTATTTCAACTCGGTAACAAGACGACGCTCGCAATTTGGTCACTTGCAGTTAAAAGCAAAGATTACAGTTGCTTCGGAACAGCCTCTAAAGATCATGTCACTAGAAAGAGTAAAAGCGGGGGGGGGGGGGGGGGGCGGTTGTTACCAAAGAAAATAACCATTGTTGCTGAAATATGAAAAGGCTAGTTTAGCTTTGGTTAAACCATGGAACTTTTCTTCGAGGAATTAGTACGCCAGGTCCTGATAATCTCGACATCTGAGAATTACTTCTTTGGCCACGTAATCCGCTCCACACTAACAAGAAATATCAGCCTTAAACTGACTTTCCAACACTCGGGGGGTGGGGGTGGGGGAGAACGGTGAGCGCTAAGTTTGTCCACGGAGTGCCAAGTTCCACGCCGCACAGAGCGCCACCCCACACGGCCACTCACCAAAGTTGCCACCGATCTTCGCCCCGAGTCCCGGGACACCAGCTCGTCTCCGGGCGCGCGTGACCAGAACCGGGGATCCGAGAAGCTGGGGCTCACGCCACCGCCCCTCCGGACGCCGTCGCCCTGCCGTCAATCAACACTCCCCCCCCCGCCCCCCACGCACCCGACCGAGCCCCCGGGACTCCGCGCGGGGGCGCGGCCCGGGCACCGACGGGAGCGCGACTGCTGGGTGTCAAGAAGGGGGAGCGACAGACGTCACTCCGAGCACTACTAAGTTGTGTGTGAGTGCGCGCTCGGGGTCCCCAGGGCACGAATCCCCCCACCCCCCCGGGGGATGGGAGAGAGCGCAGGCAACTGAGCCTCGGCGGGACTCCGGCCGCGCTCACCTCTCGAGCCGCGCCGCCTTCCTCCGCCGCTGCCGCCGCCTCCTCCTCCCGGTGAGTGCAGCGGGGTCTGCCCTGTGAAACCACCATACCAGTCCCGCCCGCTGCTGCAGCGCCGCCGCCGCCGCCGCTCCTCAGCCGCCTCAGCCGCCGCTCTTTGTTTCCCCCTCCTCAGGCGCCGCTCCTCAGCCGCCCGCCTCGGCCGCCCGGACCCCACGAGCCACCGCTACGCTCTGCCGCCCTCTCGGCCCCCGGCCTCGCCCTCTTCGCCGCGCCCGCCGCCGCCTTCGCCTCCGCGCCGTCGACGCCGCCGCCACCGACGCCGACGCCTCCTCTTCCGCGCCCCCCTCGTTTTCATTGAAAGCAAACAAGCATCATGGCGGCGGCCGCCGTCCCCCTCCCACCCCAGCCAGCGAGCGCCCCGCTCACCGCCGCCTCGCCAACATCCTGGCTTCCCATTGGCTGATACTGCTGGGCGCAACCATTCCGCGACGGGCGGGGGGGGCTCTTCGCGGGCCGTCGCTCAAGCCCGGTCTCCGTTCCCCCACGCGTCGCGGAGCAATGAGCCGGCCCAGCGCGCTCCTGCCCGCCCTCCCGTCCTCTCTTCCCGCTCTCTTTGCGCCTAGCCTTCTCCATGCCTCTAGTCTCCTCCTCTTCCTCCGCCTTTCAGCTGCTCTCATCTCGTTCACCTTTATCTCCACTTTTCCCTTGATGTTTTTTCCTCCTCTTCAGTCACTTTTCTTTTCTTTGGCCTGTCAGTCACTTGTAAGCATAGATAAGCTCTCACAGACTTTTAACCTATCCAGTATCTTGATCTGGCCAGAGAAAAAAAAGTTCAATCTTGAATAGTTGACCAATTGTTCCTGCCCTAACTATGCAGAAAAAATTAATCAGCAGGCAGTTTTTTGTTTGTTTTGTTTTTATAGAATCCTAGTTTAAGTTAGGAACCAAAGCCGCATTCAAAGGCTAAAACAGCCTATCTATGCTGGGCAAACTGTGGTTGCAGGTAAACCCGGGAAGAAATGGGCTGATTAATGATGTTTACATCAGGGGATAATAGTTGACTGGTATTTGGGGCACAGGGATTAATCAGACTCCACCTTGTCTTGAGTCAGCGTGATGGTGTATGGGCAAGAGTAACATCTTGACAGACAAAATACACTGCTGATGTAAGGTAGAGTGTGAAGGACAATAGCTGTCTCTACCTCATGTCAAATCAGCCCAAAAGATGTGAGGCGAAATGGTTTCCAGGAACTAACAAGGAAGAAATAAACGCATGTCCCTCAAGGAAGTCTGGGAAATGGGTGACTGTTGCCTGAGGCTGAGGAGAGCTGGGAGGGCAAAGCACTGAGGGACAAAAGCCCTTCCCAGAAGCAGATGTTCTGTTCAAGACAAACAGTTTGTGTTTGCTTGGCTCCAGCATTGCCTTGAGATGATCATTGCCTGCCCTTTGCCAGGATAGCAGTGCCAGCCTAGGCCTCTAGTGCTCTGGGACACTAGACAAAGTTAATGCAATGCAGGTGCCCGCCATCCATGAGGAGTTAGTAAGGACGGGTGCAGAGTAGCTACCTGAAGATATTCCTCCATAACCTCCGAGCCCTGACCTACTCAAGTTGTTCAGTGCCTGTCTTATACAAAGGGTACGAGGCTGAGGGGCCACTGATCCTGGTGGGCCATTCCCATTCCACTGCTGTGCCCTGGCAACCTGTGCTCCCGCCTAGAGATGGTTCCTGTTGTAATTCAGTGGCCCAAGGGGAACTGCCTGTTTGAGAGTGACTGTATGCCCCCAGAGGAGAAGTCTGGTTGTGTAACAAAAGCCTCGGCTTCATTAAGCAATAATTCTATTAGAGTTCATGAATCAGATGCTTAGCTAGACAGTTCTGCTGGTCTCACTTGTGGTCTTTCATGCCAATGCCTCGCAAAGGTGGATGGATGTTGGATCCCTGGCATCTCCATGTTCCTTAATAAAGCTCCTTGTTCTGTGTTGGCAGTACTTCCTTTGTGGATGCTCTCTTCGGCTGAGGTCATCCTGGGTCACTAACAGGGCAACTCAGGGCTCCAAGAGGAAGAAATAGAAGGGCTCAGCTCTCCTAAAGTATGTCTCTTTCTCTGTATTCATCCACCAAGCAGTCATAAGCCCAGTGTGGGTTTTAAAGAGGACAGGAACAAAGGAATATCTGTGTGCACACAGAGGGAGTGGTGGACGTATTCAGCGCCATTGAGGCACACACCCTGCAAATACTGGGGTCCCCAGAAATGCATGATACTGTTCAATCTGATTCCAGTGACAAAATTGCCATGAAAACTGCCCATCGAAGCCGATCCTGACAATCTGAACTGCTAAGGAACCAGAATGCTTGTGACGGAAGATTCATGGTTCTTCTAGTGGGTAAGCACAGGGAAAACCAAGCTGCACCAGACACTGGTGATCCTGAAATATGGACCCTGGTTAGCTAGTCAACTCTGAAAGTCTGACATGTCCTCTGTAGAGGCTGGAGACTTGGTATCCAAGGATGGTCACTGACAACCTGAGTTCTTTTTCCTTGTGTAGTACTAAGGGTGTTGTATATCCTTGTCATCCTCCTCCATTTCTCTGGGCTCAGGGTCACAGTTTCTTTAGTTAGAATCTGGTATTTATTATAAAGTTACAGGTCTCCATAGATCTTCTTCATGTTCTTTATTGTCTCTAGGTCTAGTGTATTAGACTTCATTTGATTCAAAATCAAGTTCAAACAGCTTTAGGGAAAAAAAGAAAGGAAAAGAAGAAGTAGTTGGTGTAGTGGTGTGAATGTAATTGGCCCCCATAAGCTCATAGGGAATGGCACTATTATAAGTGTGGCTTTGTAGAGGAAGTGTGTCATTGTGGAGGTGGACTTTGAGGTCTCTTATATGCTCAAGATACTGCCCAGTGTCTCAGACTACTTCCTGATGCCTGCATAAGATGTAGAACTCTCAGCTCCTTCTCCAGCACCCTGTCTACCTGCATGCTGCCATGTCCCACCATGATGATAAGGGACTGAACCTCTGAACTGTAAGCCATCTGGTTAAATGCTTTCCTTATCAGAGTTGCCATGGTCATGATGTCTCTTCACAGAAATAAAAACCCTAACTAAGATAGTTGGCTCAAATAGTTTTAAAGGTCAGGGAAAATATACCGTTCAAGTGTTACCTGATATGAGGACTGATGACTTGCTAAGCTCTACTTGCTTCCATCTTCTACAGGGTATAAGACCAGCAAGAAAACGAGTCTGTCCTGAACTAGCTTTCATTTCCATTCCTGAACCAAAAACCATGATTCAGGGGAACATAGTGTGCCCTGGCCAGAAAGAAGTCACAGTCCACCCCATCCCACCCCATCCCATGTAATTGAGCAGGATTCAACCTCTCCTAAAGAATATAAGGAGCATAGCCAGGTGGTGGTGGTGCACACCTTTAATCCCAGCACTTGGGAGGCAGAGGCAGGCGGATCTCTGTGAGTTCGAGGCCAGCCTGGTCTACAGGGAGAGTGCCAGGACAGCCAGGACTGTTACACAGAGAAACCCTGTCTTGAAAAATATCCCCCCCCCAAAAAAAAGAATATAAGGAACAGATGGAGAGAATAAGCAGAGGGGGAAATGGAGATGAGATGATGTTGTTGGGAAAGAGAGAAAGAGAAGCAGAAAGACACAGCAACCTAAGGTTTATTCTTTCTCAGGTCTCCTGCTAGCTTCTTCTCAGCACGCCCAGTTTGTCCTGGCTTCACTCCTAGTAGGTGGAATTGTGAGACGATACCTGGAAACCCTATAAACTTCCATTCTGAGCTCAACGTGCTCCCTGAGGACTCACCTTAGAGGACCCGCCAGAAACGGTCAAGGCACCAGGTTTGTTTCTGCTTTTTTGTATATCTGTCACAGTTTCAAAGAATTAAATTTTTGCTAAACAAAAATTATTAGGGACTAGGAAGACACCCTGGGGTGTGGCGCTTGCCCATTGTGCACAGGGCTCTGGCTTGGATACTCACTGGAAATAAATAATAAAAATTGTTAGTCGTGAATTTGAGGGAGGGAAAAACTCTTAAAAAAACAAAAAAGAGCCAGTTTGTGTTGGTGCATGCCTTTAATCCCTGCATTCGAGAGGCAGACGCAAGTGGATCTCTGTGAGTTCGAGGCCAGCCTGGTCTACAAAGGGAGTTCTAGGACAGTTGGGACTGTCTTAGAGAAACATGTCTTAAAAAAACAAAGAGAAACCCTGTCTTTAAAAACCAACCAAACAAACAAAACAAACAAAAAACCAGAGAAGCATGAAGAAGAAAGTATATCTCACCCTGGTTCCCACCTCAGCCACACCCTGAAAAGCTGAGCATTTGGATTAATTATTGATAAACCTCAAGCTTATCCCCAGACAAAAGTACTTAGATGAGAAGTCAAACTGAGGTGTCCTACCTTCTAAAGGTTTCATGTCCTAAGGTTTAATATATGTGCTGAGAATATCTTTAAAAAAAAAAGTTTTGAAAGTATGTCAATCACATTCCAAATAATATGCCCAATTTATTTCAGTACCAGATACCATTTCAGGTGAGTGAACCTGTAAATTTCTATCAGAGGAGGCTGGGTGGGGAGATGGTTCAGCGGGTAAGAGCACTTCCCGTGCAAGCTCAAAGACGTTCATCATCTTTCTGATCTCCTCCTGTGTGCAACACACACCCTGACTCATATTTACCGTAGTTCCCCAGGAATGTCTGAGGGTTTGAGGTGTGGGGTGAGAGGCAGAGGGTAGTCAGGTATGGCTTTCAGAGCTTTAGCCCCAGCAACTGGTAGGTTCTTTGGTGTCAGCTCTGATGTGTACGGCAGAGGTTGGAGTTTGGTTTGGGCAATGCTGGAAAAGCCTAGCGATTCCTCCCACCTCAAATGTAAGATGCCAACGCCTACAAGCGATTCATCATTGATACTCCCCTGGGTGAGGAGCACTTTCAGGTACATTCTTGTTATGAGACATGAGGTGTAGAGTGATGGCAGGAGCCTGAACTGGACAGTCCGAAGTGTGTTTACTAGAGAGAGTGGCCTAAACCCTGAGAGAAGGACTTTGTTGCTGGCAGATAGCAAGCCTGTTAAGTTTCTCAGAACTGATCCTGCATCCTGGGATGATTAGCTTTGCCTGTCAATTTGACTGGATCTGGAATCAATTAAATGGTAGGTCTCTATGAGGAATACTCATTTTTATTTCTATCTGTGTATTTGTTTGTTTTGACACAGGGGCTCACTATGCAGCCCTAGATGGCCTGGAGCTCATTATGCAGACCAAATTATAAGAAGGTTTATTAGAGGCATCAGCTCATGTTGCTTCCCCTTGTTGCCTTTGTGCCAGAGGCAAGCAGAAGGTACTTGGTGGTGGGAGCATACAGTGCCAAGAGCTACTTAGCTCATGGTGGGTGAAAGTAGAAAGAAAGACAGGAAGGCACAGGGGTTGCAGTATCCTTCTGAAGGGCATGCCTCCAATAGCCTAACTTCCTCCCACTAGGCTCTATCTCCTAAAGCAGTGGACACTCCTAATGCTGTGACTCTTAAATTCAGTTCCTCCTTTTGTGGTGATCCCCAACCATAAAATTATCTCATTACTACTTCATAACTGCAATTTTGCTACTGTATAT